CCGCCCCGCACCCCCGCTTCCCCGACATCGATTTAGGGATCATTATGAATCAATTACTGCTCTCCGTACTTGCCCATTGGCGCACACAAGACCGGTCCAAAGATGGAAACGTGGGGTTTGGTGGGGATTTTTTTTTTTTCTTTTCCCCCTGACAGGAACAATCGCAAAACCCATTATCTCACCCTCAGAGGCCCCGGGTGGGTGCGGAGGTGCAGAGAAAGGAAGGGGTCGCCCGTGAATGTGGGGGGGAGAGCTGGGGGTGGGGGCAGCGTCGCCCAGCTGCTGTCTTTGTTCAGAGGGGTTTGCTGGTTGTTTGGGGCCTTTTTTTTTTTTTTTGGAACTGGGGGTGGCGGCGTCGGGAGGGAGGCGTGAGAATGAGATGCCTACAAGTTTTGTAACCTAATTCTTGAACCACTTAGAACGCTATTTGAAAGCCCCCTCCCCCCCCTTTTTTTCTATTCTCTTTCTCCAAAATATAACTCCAAACTGGTTGTATGAGGCGTTGCTGGAAGTGAGGCCGCACGTGGGAAAAGGTGTGGACGAATGGGTCCGCCTGGGGCGCGGGGTGTGCGCTGTGCGTGGGTCTGGGCTGGGAAGGGGCTCTCCCGCCCCCGCCCTCCCCGCCCTCCTCCGGCCGTCGCTGTTTTTGTCGCTGGAAACTGGTGTGGACCCCGGGCTGCCCCCCCTCCCCGCCCCCGCCCCCGCCCCGCCTCGGCCGCCCCGGGCTCTTCTCCCCCCTCCTGGCGGGGCCGGGGTTCTCTAGGTGTTTCTATGACTACATTGTGTGTGTGGGAGGGTCAGCTGTGGGGGTTGCCCGCGAGGGCCGTTCCTGGGCGATCATTTATCAATGTCACCCACATAATGATTCTCTCTGCAGCCTCCTATTGATGAGGATAATTACATTAGCTCAGAGTGACTGATCAATGAAAAACCACCACACAAAAACTTCTTTGCTCCTCTATAATACCAAAAAACCGATACAGAAATAACACAGAATGCCTGATTTTTCTTTCCCTCCTCTGTCCACCAATGGATTCTGCTCCCTCATATTCCCCCGCTATCTACCCCCCAAAAAATAAAAAATAAAAAAGGACAGGGACAGTAAAGTAAGAAAATAGACCCAGGTTTGTTTCAAGGAGGATGCAATTCTCTGCCCCTGAATGCATTTCCTTGAATGTGTTGGCTTCATTCTTCTGGTAAAGAATATCATCGGATTTGCTCCTGTGAGTTGCTTTTTAGACAGATCTGATCTGTGGTTTTCTGTTCTTTTTATTTGTTTTCTCCCCTTTGGGTATTTTTTTTTTTCTGAGAGAGAGAGAGAGAAAGAGAGAGAGAGAGAGAGAGAGAGAGAGAGAGAGAGAGAGAGAGAGAGAGAGAGAGAGAGAGAGAGAGAGAGAGAATTCTTTTATAAATAATTGGAAAGCGAAATTACTCGAGGTCCTCCTTTTTTTTGTAAAGCGTTTGCCTACATCAAGTTATCTTTTGTCTTTATCACTTCATAAAGTAGCACAATTAAAGATGCGATGTTGCATTGGGCATAAAGGGTGGATCCATAATACGGCGACATACTACGCTATATTCTCGCCTGAAAGTTCGCCGCTAAATTACGATTTCCCTTTTTCTAGACTTCGAAATCAATATTTTCTCAATTAAAGGGAATTTTAATGCTTTCCTTGCGAGTTGTTAAAGGCGCTGTAAATTTTATGGTACTGCTCCTTGGCTGCCGCGTAGATGCAGACCGCTGGGCTCTCCTGGGCTCTTCCTCTCCGGGGGACCCCCAGGTGTCAGATCTCATGCCAGCGAAAAGGTAAGGAGGTTCCCGGAGGGAGGGCCCTCGGGTGGGGAGCCCGCCAGGGAGTCCCCCAGTGCCAGAGGCCGCGGTGTAGAATGCTGTCACCTCTGGGTCCCACCTCCTGAAAGTGACAGGAGTGTCCCACCATTTCACGCTGAGATGTCTCAGAGAGGAAGGAGCAAGCTCCACTCGCATCTGCTCTGTGATGGTCAGAAAAGAAGCTGTGCTTGGGGAGCCTTCTGAACTATCGCCAATGCCCCCCCCCCCCTTTCTATTCTCTTTCCTTATTTCTCCAAAACGTAACTCCTTTTTTTTCTCCAAAATGTCACTCCTAGGTTCACAAATTCTGCCATATTTTATGTCGTTCTGGCCCTCTATGTCAGAACTCTCTCCCCAACCTCAAGAGCACTCACTGTTTACAGATGTTTTCTCCCTCCACACATCCCACCTAGTAAAAGTTCCCGCGGAGAATTAACTGCGGTGTGTTAATAGCCCAGGCCTGCTACTGCTCTCCCCTGCCAAGCTGAGGTCTGGTAAGCTGGAGGACGGGAGGCACAGGGCCAGGGAGCGGCTGCAGGCCCGCAGGAGCCCAGGGACTTGGGAATTCCAGGCCCAGGGATGCGGTGGGAAGCAGGGAAGTAAAACTTTCAGAAGTTCAGACAGAGAAGAGAATGAGAAAATGAGGCTAGAGTGGAAGTTCATAGGAGAAGAAAAGGACCAGGCAGGAAAAACAAACCAACACAAACAAACAAACAAAAACAAGGAGCCTTTGGGACCTCTTTGTAATTTAAAAAGAAATATGAATGAAGGGGAATTGAATACCTAAGTCTTGCTATTAATTTTTTTTTAGACCCGATGTCTGTTTAAGAACAAGTCCTCAGAGATGCCAGGAAGGACCCGAGTTTCCAAATGGAGCTACACACTCACAAAGTTCCTTTGCAGTTAGTTCCCTCTCAGCTAATTCGCTGGGATTGCGGAGACCAGGGAGAGAGCCATGTGTGTGGCGACCCGGGGCTTAAGTAAGAGTCTGATACATAATGAGGTTGCGGTTAGAGGAAGAGGGGGCATAGAGAAAAAAGCCACCCAACCAAGCACTTTAAAGTGTTCTCGCCTACCTGCCTGTCTGCTCTACTCCAGCCACACACCCTATCAGATAGTATACAGAGGCGGGGGAAGCTTCTAGTTCATCATCTTTTGTCTGCAGACCCACCGGATTGATCTCCTTCCCCTTAGATTCCCGACGTGTAAGCCTAGACCGTGGCCTTTTTATCGCGTGAGTGGGGCTTTGTTAGTGTATTTGTACTTTTCTGCTTTCAGTCTAAGTTTCTCGCCTTGGAGGAAGGAGGGGTGCAAGAAAGGAGGGGGAGGGGAGCTTCACACAAAGACTTTAGTTCTCACCGAGCAGGTTTCAGAATAGGAACTTAATGGGAAGAAAAAGGACAGAAAGGAGGAAAAAAAAAGGGGTGTGTGTGTGTGTGAGAATGGTCACAACAGGTTTTCTTGTCTGAAAGAGAAGTAATTCTGCGAATATTTTTTTCCCTTTGAGGATTCTGTTTTCTTCCTATTGAAACATTTTTCAATTTTAATCCTCTAGCAGACAAAACCCTCCGTATAAATATGACATAGGCCACTGGCGGAACCACGAACTTAAACTCGGCTGAGAGAGGAGGGGGCAGCGGGGAGGAGAGGGGCCCTTTCTGATTAATAACTAGCAGGGTAATGTTGAGGGCTTTTTCTGCCCGATTGCCTTTTTGAATTAGAGCCGATTTCTTCACACTTCAATAGTGCCTGTCTCCTTTAAAATGACTGGCAGATTTGTTTCTCTCTTTCCCCCCCCTCCTCTCTCCCTGAGACTTAATGATGTAAATTTTCTAATTAGTTAAATCATATTGCTTAAAGGCCTAATATTTGTCGTGTAAGAAAATGATCACCCTGAGTGGGACCTCTTGAAATATTCCCAGGAATAACGCTTGGCTTTGGGTTAAGGGATGAGAGCAGGGAGCTCTGTTGCGGGAAGCCGTTCAGAGGAGAGGCGGCGTTGACCGCAACATGTTAAATTAATAGTTGAAGTTGAGCCGGGCTCACACCCCAAGCCCGCTTTTATTTTTCAATCAGCGGAGATTTAATTGGCATCCCTCCGGCCAGGAGATCTGATATTTTCCTCATTAGTTTCTCATCACTAATCTTGAGTGTTAGGTTGGCTTAAAGGTTGTCAACATTTGACCAATTTTATTTAAGGAAAATAAAAATCACTGCGTTAGGGCTCCGGGATGTGAAATCTTACAAATAAATCCTGCTTGGATCAGCGGAACTAACAGGCGGGGGCGGGGATGTTGACTATTCATTGTCGCATTTAATAAGTTGCATTAATGTATGTTTCAAGGCTAGGAAGAGATATTATTATATATGGGCTGCACAGATGCAGGTGAGAAGAGGTTGATGGGAAGGGGTGTGCCTTACAAGCGAGGTGGGTGGGTAGGCAAAGTGAGAAGTGGGCACGTTTCGAAAGGAGGGAAAATAACCCAAGTGAAATAACTGGTGAGGGTTTTTAGGAGCCACTATTCCCCCCTCCCCTTCCTCTTGTAGTTGCATGAAACTGCCAAGCCTGTCTAGCAGTTCAGAGCGGCTGGATGTCTTGTCCAGAGATAACGTCAGCGCGCCCCCTGCTGGCCAGCAGAGCAGAGCGCGGAGGGTCAGCCGCGAAGCAGAGGGTGTTCTTCGCGTCCCCCGCCCCCCTTCCCGCTTCCTTCCCCCGGGACAGGGGGATCGCTTGACGAGGCTGAACACTTAAGTGAGTAAACGACAATAATAATAATAATAATAATAATAATAATAATAATAATAATAATAATAATAAATAATACGAAGGGACCCCCACGTTCACTTGGCCTCCAGGGAATAAACTATCAAACATGCTCTTTTTCTAAACCTCCTTATTCCCTGAGTTTCCGCTGTCGGTTGTTTGTTTCCACCGAACCATAGGTTCCGAGTCCGAAGAAATGCTGTTACTAGGTTGATTGTATATATATATATATATATATATATATATATATATATATATGATATAGATATATAGATATATAGATATATAGATATATAGATATATAGATATAGATATATGAATCTCTCCTGGAGAAAGAGGCCGAGACAAAACAATGCATGGCAGCCCAGCAAACTCAGACTCCAGGGAACTGGCCCTGCTTCAGGCAGGTCCCCAGGAGTCACCCTGGGAATCCAGGCAGCTCCTTGTCTTGAATGAACCTTTCTTCTCACGCCAGGAAATGCCGGCCCCTGTCCGATTTTTGTTTGTTTCAAAATAGAGAACGTGTTTAAAAGTTGTCACAGTCCCACCTACCTATCTACCTACCTACCTACACACACTCACACACACACACACACACACACACACACGCAGGTCTTTGCACCGCGTACTCCTGTTCTCTCTCCCGGAATGTCTTCGTTTTGCTGGAAACGGAAAGGCCGGCGCCGGGGCTGCAGCTCGGACCTCCGAGGTCCTGGGCACTTGGTCTCCCTCCGGCGCCTCACGCCAGATGCCCGGAGCGGGGCCGGAGGACCTGAGGGCGTAAGGGCGCTTTCGCACTGTTTGGCGGCACAGGGGGTGCTCCCGGTCCCCCTAGGGCTCCTCCCGGGGTGTCTGACCGCCCGACGCCAGGGCTGGACCCGCCAGCGCTGCCGCCAGGGAGCCCGGCTCCGAAAAGTGTCCCGGCCGCAGCCGGACCCACGCAGCGAGTCTCCGTCTGCAGCGCGGAACGACTTTAGTTCGCGGCTTCACTTTCCAAAGTGCCGGTGGCGGGGTTTTGTGCGAACATCTCTGAGAAGTGAGGCGCGAGGGGAAGACGGCGGGGGGAAAGGTGGGTCTCTGGATGTTCCTTTCTTGTCTGAGTACCAGGAAGATCTAGTTAAAATCCGTTCTTTCCTTCGCCCTTCCCTTCTCCCCAGAACCCCCACCCGCACCCCGACCCACCGCGGCCCCTCCCGCCGCAGCAGGAGCCGCACAAGGTCTGGGGGTACTGGGCAGGCAGCCGGCGAAGCGATGCCTCCCTCAGTCGGGCAGTACCTGAAGAATCGCTGGGGCTACTGTGTCCACTAAGGTAAAGTTAAATATTTATACTCCAAGTTGTTGTCATTCCTTTATTGTCCTGTTTTGAACAAGTCGGGCGGCGCGTTCAAACTTACTTGAAGCATACATCCCGGTCTCAGGGCGCAAAACCTGCCGCCTGCCACTGGAGGTGACTTTTTGAAGTGGAGAGGGAGTTAGTTGTCTGCAAACCACAGGGGTTCATTCAAATCTGTGTGTATAGATACAAACACATATGAAAAGGAAGAAGGGGGGTCTCCGGTTGCAAATGAATCCCTATACAATTTCCAGGAAGATACTCTCACAGATGAAGAAAATATGACAAGCTCATTGTATTTGTCTCAGTTCGACTCAATGAAATTCGGAGACGCTGGCTGTCTGGTCAACGCTGTAAGGAAATGAATGCAAAGGTCCTTAAGAAGAGAATGAAAACACCTCTTGCCATTAATCTGCAAGCACTTGAAGAGTATGATTAAAAGAATGGGATCACTAAGCATTATCATCTCAAATAGCTGTTAACGGTCTCCACCCCTTTATTGTGGCAACAAAATAAACTCTCCGGGAGGAATAGTGTTTCTTCCTAGTTTATCTTTGTTTCTGTTTTGCTTTCAGGGCAAAGGGGGAGAAGAGAAGCAGAAAAAACCTCCTCAGAAGTCTTGTTTGCCACTGTTAAAAGGCTGTTGTTCATTTCTGACTCCCTCATCTTTCAGGACACAGGAAAGGAATCGAGTGATGTGCCTACATTTGATGAGAAGAAACCACTAACCACCACAGTGAAAGTGCATTTGTTTCATTTTCCTTTTCCCCCGGCAGAGAAATGTTTACTATCCAATTTAGCGCGTGGGAGCTGTGGACAAGCAAGAGGCGTCCCCCTGTCCACGTCTAGTTGCTGACTTTCATCGCTTGGATTTGGTAGGCTTTTTGTATCAAATAGAAACCACGGGGAAGAGAATGAGATACTTGCCAATAAACAATATTACGTTTCAAGCAGACTCCACCTGGTTCCGTATGTATTTAAGGGCTGGGAGGGGTGTGTGTGTGTGTGTGTGTTTACACGCCCGCGCCTGCTATTTTCCCCTAATAACCCTCAAAGCCTTCCTTAGACAGGAGGGTGAGAGCCCTATGACTGGACATCCTGATAAAAGTGAAAGCAGTGCCCTTCTGCCCCTAGAACCCTAGGAAAAAACACCCCCAAAACGCACAAGTGAGTATTTTCTTTTAGAGCCCAGAGTTGGGCAGACCTTTCAGAGAAATACACCATCATTAACATTTCAAAAATCGAAATGCTGAAAGGAAGGGCGGTGGCTAACAAAAAAAAACAACAACTCCATAGTGCACATTATTCTTCAAACCCTGCAAAGCCCCAGGTGCCCCAGGAAATCGGTGCAAACCGCACCCTCTCACTGAGCAGACAGCTCTCCCGGCGGGAGCTGATACCCCAGGTGCGTCAGCTGAGGCTCCTGCCCAGCCAGGAGGAAACCCAAACAGGCCCCCGGAGGCCGGACGTCTGGCCCAAGGGACGGGGGATCCCGGTCTGAGGGGCTCCAAGCAGCTTGCCCAGTCCTGGGGCCAGGCTCCCCCGCCCAGGGACTGAAGGCTCCCAGGCCACATGGGTCCAGGAGTGACTGTGAAAGGAGATAGAGAGAGCTGTCCCGCCCTCCCCTGCTACCTCCCCCACAGGTGTGTGTGAGTGTGAATGTGTGTGTGTGTGTGTGTGAGTGTGTGTTCATATGTGAGTGTGTGAGTGTGTGTGTGTGTGTGAGTGTGAATGTGTGTGTGTGAATGTGTGTGTATGTGTGTGTGAATGTGTGAGTGTGTGTACATATGTGAGTGTGTGAGTGTGTGTGTGTGAATGTGTGTGAGTGTGTGTACATATGTGAGTGTGTAAGTGTGTGTGTGTGTGTGTGTGTGTGACACATGTCCTTGGAGGGGGCCTCTGGGGAAGTTCACCCACACAGCGGCATCCTGGACCCTGAACCCACACTTTGTCCTGTCCCCACCCTCTGCCCAGGACACCCTAACAGTTCCCCAATCCCAGCGGCGCCTGCACAGGTGCGGAGCCTTTAACTGGAAAGCGCTGGAAAGTTCCCCATGCCCATCCCCATGCCCATCCCCATCCCTATCCCCATCCCCATTCCCATCCCTCGGAGGAAAGGCGGCGGGGTGGGGGTGGGGGTGCGAGTTGGGGTGCTGGTGTGGGATGGGGGCGGGAGGAAGGACTTCCAGCGCCCAGACATCCCTGTCCCCCAGTAATTGCCATCACACTCCACCTTTCCACCCTGACCTGCAGGGTCCACAACGCAGGGGTTGGTTCGCGGGGAAACCGTGCCCATGAAACGTCGGGTTTGACGCGGGAGGGCTCCTGAGACCCGCGCAGGCTTTGCTTAGATTCAAAAGTATGATTTTAATTCTCTTAATGAAGGCGCTCTCTGGAGCTCAGCTGGTAATGGCTGCGCCGAGTCTAATAGACTCCTGTCGAACAGGAAAAGACGGATAACTATCGGTTATAAGTAATCTGCTCTAATGCAATTATATTCCTAGGTCCCCACGTCCCTGTTGCCCAGGGGCAGGAGAGAATGAGGGCCGCGGGGGCGGGGACCCGGCCAGGAGGCCGAGCCCAACCTGTGCCCCAGGCGCACTAGTGCTTGGGGGTTAGGGTCCAAGGCTTCAGAGGCCTTGCTGGGTGTGCAGTGTGAACACCTCTTCTCCCTCTCTCCCCCTTTTCGTCCTCCTCTCCCCGCTTCTCCTTTTCTCTCTTCCCCTTTCTTCTCTTCTCTCCCACAGGTAATAGGAATGCCCTCTCCCTGCCCTGTATTTGCCTTGTTGCAGGCAGATCCATGTGACCCAGTATCTCTCCCAAACACTCACACAGAAGGAGGCTCCTGGAATGTATCGACCCATTTACCTTTTGAAACTAATGACATTGGGATGTTTAAGATACTGGAGACACGGGGCGCACACACACTGTCAATATACCGGGAGGCTTATTCTGTCCACACACACAGGCAACCCAGGTCCCTGTCCGAACGGAGCTGCAATTTCACCTCTTACACCAGCTGTCATTACTGGTAATTTTTTTTTTTTTAAAAGGGGTTAATCAGAGCCCATTGGTTTGTTTGTTTGTTTGTTTGTTTGTTTTAATACTTGAATTGCTTTCAGAGAAGAAGGGAGAACTGAGAGAGAGACAGAAACATCAATGATGAGAGAGAATCATTGATCGGCTCCCTCCTGCACGCCCCCTACTGGGGATCAAGCCCAAAACCCTGGCATGTGCCCTTGAGGGGAATAGAACTCAGGACCCTTCAGTCTGCAGGCCTACGCTCTAACCACTGAGCAAAACTGCCTAGAGCTTTACTGGTAGATTTTATTTAAAATTATCAGAACCCATCTTAGCTCTTCACTTTGCCTGGTAAACACAATCTCAGGACAACGTGATTAAAAATAATAATAACAAAAGTCATAATTTCCCTTCTGCCAGTAAACAAGCCAAATCCATGCAAAGAGAGCCTTGCCTTCTCACCTAGAAGAAGGATTGGAAAAGGCGGGGAACTGACCTGGGGTGTGACAGGCACCTGGGAGCCCAGCCCTGGCCCTGAGCCTCTGCCCTGGGCCTCTGCCAGCCTTTCCCCCCTACCTCTCTCCAAGGACTGGGGGACAAAGAACGTTCTGGGGACTGATGCACAAAAGGGTTAAGTGAACCCTGAGTTACAGGTTTCTGTTCCAGACCTGAAGGTGAGGCGAGGGTAGATCTCTAGTGTGTCAAGTTGTACAGACTCGCTCACCCAAGTTCTCGCCTTTTATACCCTCTCTCTCTCCCTCTCCCTGTCTCCCTCCCTCTCTCCTTTCCTGTTACACGCTCACCCACACCCCCATGTACACACAAGCATCCACAAAGCTCGTACTTACTATCTCCTCTTCCCTGACCCAACCATACCCCCTCCCCCATGTGTCTAGTCTCAAAAGTAAATAAATAAATAAGAAAGGAGGAAATCAAAACAAAACCCCCAGTCCCCCCTGGCTGGAAGAGCCCAGCTGGTGCCCAACACAGGAACTTGGGGTGTGGCCAGGAGCCAGGCCCTTTGCTGCTCTGGGCCTTGGGCAGACACCTCTCTGGAGGGGAGGGTTGGTGGCGGTGGGGGGGAGACTTTCCACCTTCCTCTTCTCAGGCTTCTGGGAAGGGAGTTGGGAGGCAATCCAGTCCTCAGGCCCCAGCACTCCCAGGGCCTGGAGAAGCTGGCAGGGTGGGCACCTCCCAGGTGCCCAGATGTGACCGCCAGGGGTTCCACTCCCAGAGCCGGCAAGTCTGCCACAGAAGAGCTGCACCTGGATTTCTCTAAGCGCTCAGCCTCCGGTGCCCTTTAAAGATAGAGAAGGCCACTAAACAGGGCTCAGGCCAGCTCCTCCAGCACCAGCCCCTCCAGGCCAGCCCCGCCAGCAGCCTCGCTGGCAGGTGGTCTTCAGGGCCACTGTGTGACTTAGTGGCTTCAGGTGGCACCAGAGATGGGAGAACAGGCAGCGGCTCCAGGAGCAGATTTGGAACAGGAGAAGGAGCGCCTGTCAGAGCCTTTCTCCCCCTCCTCCCCTCCCTAACACTCATTCTGTCTTGGATGAAGTCCCTGCGTCCTCCCTTCCAGGGTTCCTCTGCAGGAAAACTGCTGTGCTGTGCTGTTTGGCGTCTTAGGAGAGCAACAGCAAAGACCCAGAAAGCCTTCGCAGGCTCTACATGGATCTGACTCTGTTTTTGAACAGTGTCTGGGAGAGGAGGGGAAAGACATCCTATTGCCCAGCAGTGAGTTTTCCAGGCTCCCCCTCAGCCAAGCGAAGTTGAGAAAATGAGAAAAAGCCAACTTCCCCCCAGTCGTCAGGAAGAGTAAGAACCGCAGCTCCTCCCCTCCTTGAGAAGGCCTTGCATGGTGGCTGGCCCCCTGCCTGCGCGCATGCCCTGACTGGAGCCACTCTAGGCTTCCAGTCTGTTCTCACCTGCAGCACCCGCCTGGGGTAGGTCTGAGGACACACCGGGAGGCCTCGGAGTTAGGTTTGCTTCTCACTCACTGACTCTCCTATTTTAAAGTCAACAGAGGAAAACATTTTTTTCTTCTTCAGTAAATCAAATGTGTAATTATATTCATATAGAATTAAGGCATGAAGATGATCTTTTCTTCAACTGTACTCAGACTTTATTATTATTATTTTTAAAATATAATTTTATTGCCGAAACCGGTTTGGCTCAATGGATAGAGCATCGGCTTGGGGACTGAAAGGTCCCAGGTTCGATTCCGGTCAAGGGCATGTACCTTGGTTGCGGGCATATCCCCAGTAGGGGGTGTGCAAGAGGCAGCTGATCGATGACTCTCTCTCATTGATGTTTCTAACTTTCTATCCCTCTTTCTTTCTGTAACAAATCAATAAAATTATATATATATATTTTTTAAATATATATATTTAAATATAAAAGATATATTTAAATATATATGAGAGAGAAGATATATTTAAATATATATTTGAATATATAGTTAAATATATATATGAGAGAGAAGCATCGATCAGCTGCCTCCTACACATGCCTCACTGGGTATGTGCCCGCAACTAAGGTACATGCCCTTGACTGGAATCAAACCTGGGACCCTTGAGTCGGCAGGCCAACACTCTATCCACTGAATCACACTGGCTAGGGCTGTACTTAGACATTTTTAAAGAGCTGCCTTGAATGTGGCATGCTTTTATAGAACAAGATACCTGTCGGCTTTAAGGACGAGGAACCCTGAAAATGCTTGATGTTTCCTTCCTTCACATAAATCATAAATAAGAGGGTGGGGGAGGGGGTCTTAAGAATAGCTCAGGTGATAAGAGCTCAGAAAATAAACTAATCAAAGCAGGAAAACAACACACTTTTTATATCTTTAAAGTTGTTTTCCCCATAGGAAGTTAGAGGCGAATACCTGACTGCGAAGTTAAGATTTTTTTTCTGCTCACTTATTTATCAGAGT